GGGCTCTGAGCAACCTCATGTAGGTGAAGATGTCCCTGCCCATGGCAGGGGGGATGGACTGGATGGCCTTTAAAGGTCCCTTCCATCCCAAAGCATTCTGTGATTCTATGAAAAATTCTTACAGATATTGGTACATGGCAGTCTTTGCAGAAATCCAGTCATAAGAAAAGTGTAATTGTACTGTGTGTCATATCAAAGCACAAGAGCTCACAACCTACGAAGTCACATACAAAGGTGGTAGATGAAAGGCGAAAAGACATCCCATCCATATGCATGTTCATATACTAAATATGGTTATTTTTCTTAGTATCTGCCTTCATAAAAAAGTTTCAACAGCCATCAGATGACTCTCAGCATAGCCATTATATACTGCTGGCTTGTAGCTGCCAGAAGATCTGGTGTTAAGAACAGAGTTGATGAGACTTGAGATCGGTGGGTTCTGTTTCAGGCACAGTAGACTGCTCACTTTGACATTGCGTAAGTATAGAGCCCAACCTTCAGAGGTGCAGAGCTTCACACCGTCAACACTTCAGTGGGATTTCTGGTGCCCACCATCACAAACAGTCAGTCTTTGACATAAATGTCCCTTTCCTCGTTTGTAAAATACAAATAGTAACACATACTCCACAGGACTGCTGTGAGATATAATTAATAGTTGTAAAGTACTGAGTTCCGTGGATGAAAGCTGCTAATGCAAGTACAAAGCATTATCAGCTCTGAAATGTATTATACTTCTGCTATAAAAAGTTTTTAAAAAGAACTTATCTATTTTCTCCCGGTACTTTTACTCTGCACATGAGCAAAAGATCTTGCACAGCAGTTCATTAAAAAAAGAATTAATAACCTATCATAATCTCACACAACCCATCTTCCCCCTGCTACTATCTTACTAAAAACGTCCATATTAAAGACAACCTTGGGGCAAGTTTTTTAAAATAAATTATTTCACACAGTCCATAAGAAAAGCTGATCTCTAGAAATAGGATAGTTAAATTTATTTAAACACCTATAAACGAAGCTCTAAATGAATTTAATGGTGCATAGTAAATTTAAAAGTTACTTTATGGACAGCAGAGTTACCAAAATCTAGTACTATTAATGAAGTTTCTGTAACTAGTGACAAGTCGGCTCACTGAAAAAACTCAGAACTGCTGAGGAATACAAACAAAGTCCTTTAAAGGAACTTCAGATACATATTCAAAAATACCATGATAATATAAAAATCTTTTCTCTTTAATCCTCCCCCTTTTTCTTCTTTCCTGATAATCTAGTTAGGGTTTGGTGGGTTTTGTTGCCTCTCAGGACAAAACATCTCCAGCGTTTTTAAGACAAGTAAGTAACAATATTACAGTAAATAAGGCAAGGAAGTCATCTTTCTCACTTCAAACAAATATGGAAGCTCTGGAAATGACAATAAAATCTACATAGTTTAAGATTAAATAAGATTCTTCAGACAGGTCCCCACTGCTGTAGCACGGAGATGCCACAATATGTGTAGAAGCTTTTTTCTTGTCCACTGGGAAATCAGTATTTATTAATTCTTTCAGGATAGAAAATTACTTGAAATGATGAACTGATGAATTTTACGCTATCCTTCATTAACATTTCAGACATTTTTGCCCTCCCTTCAGCTACTTTTTTTGCAGCCTTCTGAGCCACACAGAAGGTCATGAATATTGGCTCTGTGTTACTTAGGAATCTCATTAACCCTCCTGTTGCAATGGATCTAACCAAGACAGCCATAACCCACGGAGGCTCTTGGAGTCAGAGGAAAGACTTCACATAAACAAGCTTCTTGTTAGTCCCTGTTGTGCAACATCTTACTACCATAATGTCTGTTTCTTATTTCTTTTTCTCTGGTATTTGAGAGATCATATTCTGCTTTCAGCCCAGCTGGTAACCTGCCCTGTCTGGAATAAATTCAAGGGTTACGCTACTCTTAGCTATGCCGCCTCTGACAAGAGTAGTGCTCCTTTCTTCCTCCACAGGCAGCCATGAAGCTCTTCTCCCCTACTCTTCCCTCCTTGAGCCAATTCTATAGCTGCACGATGAGTTTGATCAAGGAGTCGATCTGTCTGAAAGTTGGTGGGGTTTTTTCCTAGGTTAGTTTTTGGATGGAACCATTCCCTGATGTAGATTACAAATGACTGCACAATCAGAAGAACGAGAGCAACGAGCAGACTAGAAATGCATTGGCAGGAGAGGTAAGTTGGGCATGACCACTTTTTGCAGCAGCATGCAGTTGGATTAGCTGGAAGTGATCATGAGGCTCCAGCCTTAGTCATTCAAGGGCTAAAAGTCTTCTGTTAAACACACTATGGATCATTTGAGTTTACCCTGCAGTGGGTAGCCCCAAAAGCACTTGGAGTGAATTTATAAGTTGCCTTCACTCATCTTACTGTCCTGGTTTTCGTATACCTCTTCATGCTTCTGGCTATCCTGCAGAAGAGAGTAAAGTAAGGTCTCAGTGCCATGGCATTTTCTTGTTGCTCAACAGTTTGATAAGCACAAAGCTCTCAGCCACGGATACATATCTCGCTTGTGATTCATCTGGAATCAATGGGAGATCCTCAGCCCAGAAGTACCCTCAGAAAAGTCAGGCAGCTCACTTGCTGCATTTTATTGCCTCAGGGCGCACAGTGATGTAAAGTACCTGGAAAGATCGCCATTAAAGATTCAGATCCCAGGGAGGAATCAGCCCAGGAGACCCAGTCTCACAGGTTGCGTCATTCACAGATTTCAATTCTTGTAACAAATAAGTAGGAATACTCTGCTGATTAAAACAGCAGTAGCATGTGCCCAGACACAGTACCTGCTCCTGCTCTGCTATTCAAGTCCTGAATGCTATCAAAAGCTGCAGGTGGCTCCAAACCCAGGTATGCCTTTACGAGGAAACTCAGCTCTGTGAACGCCTCATCCAATTCATCTGCAGAAAGGGATATGCATTTCACGGTGGAGAGAAAGGATACGTAATGAAAAAATCCAAGCTTTCATCAGTACGAAGTTACAAATCACAGAAGTTTGACACAGAAATGCATTCTTAACTCATCCAGCTCATCTCTTTGGGAGAAAAATCTTCATCTTCATAAACAGTACATTCAAGAAAATAATCTGAAATTCATCTCAGTTTCTGCACTTGCCTAAATATTTTCCTTCTGCAATTTGGGTTACTGTGTTTTATTTCTTTAATGCTATATTTAAATTGTAAGCTCCATATGCCCTCGACAATAACTACAAATACAATATTTCATATCACAATGATATATTCTACCATTACTGTGGTGAACCACAAAAATCACCTCCACAAAAGGGCACAGAACGAACTAGAACAGGATTCTTCTCTACCACCTGCTATCCTCAATTCCTAAATACCAAGAAGCAAACGTTTGTTTTAATGAATTATGTACCACCCTCACATTCCTTGTTTCAGGCTGGGGGACTTAAGCAAGTTACTAAGCCTAAGAGTCCTACGAGGAAAAGCTTTGCAGCAGCCTCCTCTTTACGGTGAGACGTTGCCAGACTGCACATCAGCTATCGTTTCAACACTCGAGAAAAGCCTCGCCTGCCCAGAGATAATTAGGTCTGTTAGATCAAAAGCACCTCTGAACTCTGCCCAGAAACCAACAGACACTTAGCACAGATCAGTTTAATATTCTCATAGGAGACAATACTTAACAAGCGTGCTGCTGAGTTCAATGGTTGCTTCGCTTTCTAGGTGGGCTTAAAGCACAACTTGGGCATAGCAGGGTAATTCAGCCCTGACAGATCTTCAGAGCTTTTGGGGTCCTGGGACAAGAATTAACTGGGAAAATCAATTAAGGGATAGTTTAAACTGTTATGCTGATCATCAAATCATTTGTCATCCTTAGTTTAGTATTAGCCAGTGGCTTTGTTTGCATAGCAGCTTCAGTCCATCTATTGGTCTGACATTAAAAGTCAGATTTATAGTATGAAAGAGATTAACTTACCTGTGTTGACTACTGCATCAAAGTATCCTGGAAAATCCTGACTTATTTTGATGTACATGTCCACTCTGGAGACTGCCTCTTCAATCTCTGGCCTGCTGAATAATCCTTTCCTCCGCAAATGTCCCTCATATTTTTCTTTGTTCATTGGTACTAACAGGATATATCTGGGTTTAAAGTAGGTATTTTTCAAGCTACGCACACCCTTTAAAATTAAGCAGAGAAACGCAACGTTTTGTTCCTGAAACTGAGTGCCTGTTGAACTTGGAGCTGAGTTTAGGTCAACTCTGTATTTATCACAAATTACGGTGAAAGCAGTACTGGAAACCTGTATCCAATCTAGAGGTCTCAAGATCTAGCATCCAACGTTACAAAACAGGCAAGTTCAAGGCGAAGTGCCCTAAAGCTACATGTGGAAAGTGTTGGAAGAATAGTATAACTTTATTCTAAACACACTTTGAAAGAATCCTTTTAGTCAAATTCCACAGTGATTTAAAGCATCATACTTCTCATACCCACCAGTTAACAGCTTTTCCTCCTTCTCCCTCCTTCCCATTACATCAGGACCTGGTTATTCTAGATGTGGGTATCACTGGCTCACACCATTGTACTGACACACAGCACAACTCCCCTGCCTCGCCACCTTGGCCCCTAGCTTTCCACTATGAACACACTGACCATTTTTTCCTCAGCTGACATATTTTTCTAAGTGAAAGTATGCAACTCCATCAAGATGCAGTCATATTTATTTTGCTGGAGCAGCTTGCAGTGTATTTTTATCAGCAATAAACTATCTTGCATAGGACTTCTAGTATAGCAGACTAGGAAACATTTACACGTGCCTTGCATCAACTCTGCTGTAAGTACAACGGCACCGGTTGCCACTAATTTGAGGACTGCAAACGCCTATAAGCATTTCAGCTAGATCTGAAAAAGGAGACCTGCATGCTAGGACTTAAGGACAAGGTCTTATTAAACGATGAAGGTAATTGTACCAATCCTGAATTTCCGATAGCTCTCCTTTGCACCAGCTCATACTTTGAAGAATCTTTTCTCCCTCTCACTCTACCTAGATATAAAACAATATTGTAACCACGTAGCCCTGCAATATGGTATTGCCGTTGCCATAGGAGTTGTACTGAGTCTTCAAGGCCTGAGGACTGAGGCTCGTCCTGCTCGCTCTGAACTTTTCTTGACTTGGCTGTAACTTTCTTTTCCTTGGTTCAGCTGTGACAGCAATTTCTCTTGTTGACCAAGTGTCCATATCTAATTGTTCTACTTTTGTTTATCTTTGTGTGGTACAACCGTAGTTTTATATGGATAGCAGCAACAAACAGTTGTTCCAGGTCGAATATTTATGACTCAACATAACAACATAGTGTAGATAAATACAGGCCTGGCACGATAGCAGAGACCTTGAAAGCGGAAACACAGGACACAATGTAGGGGACTACAGGCACGGGATTATAAGAGATGGGGCACAGCCTTGACAGTAGACACCTCACAACTATAAACGTAATGGTCAGTTAAAAAACAAAGGCCTGGACCTGGACAAAGCTGCTTTTAGGGGCAGCAAGAAGAATTCGTATCTAACATACATAAAGGGCACCATATATCATGAGTTCTTGTATCAGGAATAGTGTGGCCAGCAGGAGCAGGGAGGTGATGGTGCCCCTGTGCTGGGCACTGGTGAGGCCGCCCCTCGAATGCTGTGCTCAGCGCTGGGCCCCTCACCCCAAGGCGGCCATGGAGGGGCTGGAGCGTGGCCAGAGCAGGGCAGCGAGGCTGGGGCAGGGGCTGGAGCCCAAGGCTGGGGAGGAGCGGCTGGGGGAGCTGGGGGGGCTCAGCCTGGAGAAGAGGAGGCTGAGGGGAGCCCTCATCGCTCTCTGCAACTGCCTGAAAGGAGGCTGGAGCCGGGGGGGTCGGTCTCTTCTGCGAGGTAGCAAGCAACAGGACGAGAGGGAACGGCCTCAAGCTGCGCCAGGGCAGGTTTAGATTGGATATTAGGAAAAATGTCTTCCCCGAAAGGGCTGTCAGGCCCTGGCCCAGGCTGCCCAGGGCAGTGGTTGAGTCCCCATCCCTGGAGGACGTGTGGATGTGGTGCTGAGGGACATGGTTTAATGGTGGGCTTGGCAGTGTTAGGTTAATGGTTGGACCTGATGATCTTAAAGGTCTTTTCCAACCTAAGTGACTCTGATTCTATGAATTCATATGTAACCTGGAGCTGCAGACCAATGAAGAAAGAGAAAGGTGTGAACGTGTGTTAGCAAACATACACAAATGACCCCAAGAGGCTCCTGGGAGGAGAAAGAAGAAACTACCAACATGCATATCCTCCCAGCAAAGGGCTCAGATGTTGACAACTTGCTGTAACATCCCCCCGCAACGACAACACCAGAGCAAAACCACTGACCTTAGAACCCAAAGGAGCAGCGAAAGGGTGAGCACACCACCAGCAAAACGGATAGATAGAAACCAAGAAGCATGCGTTACAATTTTCGTTGTATTATTATTATTATTGGGAATTTTTCAGTATGTAAGTACTCTAAATGCATTATTATTCTTCCTTTTTCTGTAATAATTAGAGCTAGACTAATGATGATTCTTAAATTAGACAGTTAAAATTTCCATCATACTACCAATAAATTCTTGGCTTTACTTTTATATAAATGAACATATATATAATATCACATATATAAAAATGATCATTTTGGGTGCTTAATGATGATTGTGAAAAAAAACCCCAACAAATCAGGCCGACCACCATTGTAGAGTCTGGTGATGAACAAATTATCCAAAGTTAAGTGAGACCATGCACATTATTGCACTGTAGTAAACGTAGGGAAGCTTGCTTCATTGTCATTGAGGCATGATACACCTTCTTCACTAAACTGGGTAGGAACAGGGAGGGACTAATGTATCATCAGATCTGAGCACTGTTCATTACTTCATCAGAACTGACCGTCACATCCTTAAAGCTGGGCTTCTCTAGAATAATTCTAAAATATAGTCAAATACAAGCAAAATCATGCAAAAACCAATAATAGGCTGAACACTTACTGGATTTTTTTTTCCTCGTTGCAGCATTCTAAGTATGGAACAGTACTTTGATCCATTCTCAATATTTCAGGGAGTGACTCTGGGGAAAACCCTATTCATTTTGGTGAAAGCTAAAGGGGAGAATTTGTGGCACAGAAATTTCTGCATCCAGCTGTGTGCCCACCTACTTTCAGCTAGGCCTGTAATTACTCAGAGATTGGAAAGCCAGCAGAAAGCAGACCCACATTCCAGCCTAGTAACACCCTCCTTATATGAAGTTGCACCATGAAAAAAAGTTCTCTTTCTGATCAAGAAATAACGTAACAAATTATTTGTATGTCCCAGAACCACATAGGAACAGGCCGGCAGCCCACCAGTAGTCTGGGATGAGCGAGGAGAAAAAAGGAAGAGATACAGAAAGAATCATAGAATCATAGAATCGTCAAGGTTGGAAAAGACCCTTAAGATCATCGAGTCCAACCGTTAACCCAGCACTGCCAAGTCCATCTATACCATGTCCTCGAGCACCACCTCCGTCTGTTCTTTAAATACCTCCAGGGATGGAGACTCAACCATTTCCCTGGGCAGCCTGGGCCAATGCTTGACCACCCTTTTGGTGAAGAAGTTTTTCCTAATATCCAACCTAAACCTCCCCTGGCGCAGCTTGAGGCCGTTTCCTCTCATCCTATCCCTTGTTACTGGGGAGAAGAGGCTGACCCCCACCTCGCTACAACCTCCTTTCAGGCAGTTGCAGAGAGCGATGAGGGCTCCCCTCAGCCTCCTTTTCTCCAGGCTGAGCCCCCCCAGCTCCCCCAGCCGCTCCTCCGCGGCCTCACCAGTGCCCAGTACAGGAGCACCATCACCTCCCTGCTCCTGCTGGCCACACTATTCCTGATACAGGCCAGGATGCCATTGGCCCTCTTGGCCACCTGAGCACACTGCTGGCTCACGTTCAGGCAGCTGTCAACCAGCACCCCCAGGTCAAAGCTTCTGGTGCGTCCAATAAATTTGTTGTACAGAGACAAGAGGATGAGCAACTGTCTAATATGAAATAAAGAGAGTATAAGGAAAGTGACCTTAAAATAAAAAAAAAAAGGGGAGAATACAGGAGCTGACAGTTTGAAACCAAAAAGATATTTGGAAAATAAAATAAATAAATAAATAAAGTAAAAATTGAGTTTCCTGAATTTGCATATGAGGTCAAGAAAGATCAAAGGACTATCTAAGTTGAAGACATCCATTCATTTAATATAGCTAAAGCACCTCAGTTTTTTCAGTGAACAGCATGGGGTTATAGAAAAGACGTGACCAGTGTTACATTCTGCTTCCTTTTACTCCCCAGCCTGAATGACTGGGCAACCAGCAACAAGTGCAAGAGAGAGTGGTCTTTGGCAGGAGACAAGGTGTACTTAGACTTCTGGAAGCATAATGAGACACACTGGCCACTCTGCCGCTACACCCTTGGTTGGAACGTGCAGCTCCTCCACTTGCTCTGCAGGTATCGGTGACTACACAGGCAAAGAGAAAGCCCTGCAAATGTGCTTATTCCAACACATAACTGTGTGTAGAACTGCAGCAGCTTCACGAACTGGAAGCGTAGACTCAGCAAGATTTCACTTTTAAAATTTGTGTCAGTCTCCTTTATCAGTGAAAGATATACTCTAGATTAAAGGGAATAGGCAGCTTTAAATTTTTAGTCTCAGCCCACAGACCATAATTAAAATTTCTTTTAATAGTGCTGAATCACTTTTGTTATGAGCCTCACAGAAGATAATGGACTTCGATAACTTCTATTCGGATACATAACTCACCATTATTGTTTCTCATCTGCTAGCAGAGTCCACAGTGATACAAGACTATGCATAATTACTATGGGATCTTGAAACTTCAGTGACAAAGGAGTTTCTTAGCTGTCTGTCCATGACAGTAGCTTCGGTAATACCCAGTATAAGTTACGGTCGCTGCCTATGTCGCTGGGTTAACCTCCTTATGAATAAACACGACGTTCCATTAAGTTCTTTCTCCTAAATTATTTCATAACACATCTACTTTGTGAAGAATTGACAGCTTTAAATATGATGGAATGGGGTGCCTTTTAATCTTCTCCTATTTTTCTTCCTTTGTCAACTTAGGGTCTGTCTGGCAAGACAACAAACACATGCGATGCCTGCTGCAATCAGTGGAGACTGAGGGTGATTCACAGTTCTCACAAGACTGAGGAAAAGGAGGAAATGGAACTACGCAGAGATTAAGTTATTAATCTGCTGTTTAATATCAGTCAAGTTACAGGCACTTAAGAGCAGGATTGCAGCATTAAATTGTGGACCATTTGAGCAAGGAGCTACTAATTTTTTAGCACTAACATGCTGCTATTCTGTTATTTGTACGTTTATATGCAAGCCAGTAAACGTGTACAGACTTATGTGGGCCAAAGGGGACTAAAACTCCTTCTGAACACTAAGGTGCTTAACTGAAAACTAGTTTTTCAATCATCAGTTTCACAAACAAAATAATCATCCTAAAATTAATTAAATTTAGTATCAATTTTCGCTCAAGTCTCCCTAGTTATTCCGCTCACTCTGGATGCACAACTTCGGATCCGATGTTAGCACTGCAATCTCCTACACTTCTTTTTTGTATCTATTATTTTTTCCCCCAATCTATCATGGAGTGTAGTAGTGTCTGTTAACTTGTAGTAATCCCCCAGAGGTAGAGCCGAGCCCTACAAACACAGTGAAACCCAGGAAGACTCAGTATCACATTCTGGGCACTCTGTGAAGTCCTTCATTTTGGAAGCTCGTACAGGTGGAGCTTATCTGGTAGAAAGAATTTGGAAGGAAACGTAGCATGGCTTTCCTTTTTGTCACCTCAACCCCTAGCTAGTAAATCTTGATCTAAGATAATGAGAAGTATATAATTAGAAAATTAGCTAAAAAGTTATTCTTTTGGGATTCCGATAGATAGGTTTTGACACTTTGTTTGTGACCTAGTTTCTTAACGCAGCAAGACTTCTGAGATTCTGCGATCTGTGCAGGTTCACCTGACAAATCTCAGAGATGGTAAAGTAATCCCTCAAAGAGATTATATCTTTTAATAGTTCTGCCCAAAATATTGCCTCAGGCCTGCATGCATCCTCCATTGCTTCATCAGCAAAGGAGAAGCATGGCGTTCTTTTAGGGGCGATCAGTAGGTGTGCAGCTCTAGACTAGCCCCACTGTCAGCTGCAGATGGGTGGAAAGCAGATGGTTGAAAAGCTGAGGATACTGTAACGGAAAGTACTGGTGATGTGGCGGGGAGATGAAGCTGCTGAAGATTGAAAAAATGGGCCAGGAAATTTTAAGAAGCCAGTGGAAGGATCTATCTGACTAAACGTGGGTGTCTATAAAGGGAGTGGTGTGGTTCACGTATAGACAACGGAGAGCTACTTGATACAGGCAGTAGAGTTAAAAATGCAGTTTATCTGACCAGACAACTCTGCCTATCTCCAGTGACTGTAATGCAGCCCACACAACTAGTTCAACTGTATCAGCAGCAGCTGTAGGCTGGGCAGAAGGCCATAGGATGTCTCTTGTGTCACTAAATGGCTATGTCTAGGCAGCTGAAACAAACCTTAGTCATCTGCATGAATTCCTCCCCAGGACAGTTCTCACAGAATGACTCCTTCAAAAATGGTTAGGCAGTAAGTAATCCTTACCTCTATTTCTAAGTGAACACAGGTTGCAAGACCCTCTCTGGCAATGGATTCTACAGTGTCTCTTCCAAGTCCGTAGTAATAGCCACTGTATTTAAAGGTTGCTATAAACTTCCCCTGAAATTCAAAACAGCAAGTATAATGACAAAGGAAATATTTTAAGGGAAACAACTTCCTTAAAGGAGCATAATCACTCTGGACTTCCTTGCTTTCTTTTCCTACAAAGTTTCTCCTGCCTAGATCATCAATGATAATGAGGCCAATGGGAACACAAAATTTGCAGGGAAGAGCACAGAGCCAGTCCTGCAGGGTACGGGCTTCTCCATTGTTCATGGATAATAAAAGACCAGTGTCTTGAAAACAAGCTGCTGACAGGTTACAGCTTTCATTGGTTATACATTCACGCTGCAAAGAAAGCAAGATCTAAAGCAAGGGGCATCCTTCTTCTGACATTACATCAAACCATATAGCCATGCCATATAAAATAGAAGATGTCAAAGAAAAGAGAGGACAGAAACAAATCTGCAAGGAGAATGTATAATTGGCCAAGAAATTTCAAAGTTAAAACCTGACAACTGAAACTTTGGTTCCCAGTAGTATGTCTAGAGGGTTATAAGCAGGTTATATTCTTTTAAAATTAAACTACTTGATTACTGAGAGTTGTCATTAAGGACCAGATCAGTTGCTTACGACTGTGTTGGCTCCCCTGTTTGTGTACGTACAAATAACGAGCTCTGTTGTGGCTTTTCAAGCCAAGGTTTTATTGCAGGCAGCAAAAGGCATCAGAAACAGTAGCTGGAGGCACACTGCCTTCAGAGAGAAACACAATGCCTTTAGGGTGAATTTGCTAAACTTTAAAAGACTGCATTCCCTGCAGGGTTGCAGGAAGATTTTGAAAAAAGAAAAAAAAAATAAAAAGAAAAAAAAAGGCAGTTACTTCAAGAGTTTTTCTTTCGTACACACACAGTAGATATTTGCATATGGAAATAAATTTATTTCTACATTATACTACTGTTTAAAGGTTCCTACTGACCATTATGCTCATTTAATGGTTTCTCTATATGCATACAGAAGAAAAGACACCATAAATATACAACGAATTTGTGGTTTCTGGGTATGAACTTAAGCCACATAACTGAGTGAATAAGCATGCACACCCAGACACAAACTTAATATTTAAGAAAAAAAAAAAAAATCTGACCCGGACAGAAAAGTTGAGTTCACTCTGGGTGTAGGAAATAGGCCGACCAGGATACCAGTCAGATACTTACTGTGTTCACCATTTTGTCAAATGCTTCTTGAGAAACGAAATAGTAATCAAGTCTGTTTTCTTCACCAAAGTAAGCTGCCCTGGTAGTGTGACAGGGACTGGAAGATATATGGTATAATAAAGAAATAACCGGTTTTCCATCATAGAAGCAGCTATGGAACAGGAGGGGGGGAAAGGGAGAATACTACAAATCATTTTGTTTTTAAGAAAAGAAGAAATATGAGAAATATAAAGAGGTGCAAATCATACCACTAATGCTGCATATTTGAAAGATTAACCCGTAAATACAAAAAAAAAGTTTAAATGTAACATTACATTTTGGCTATAAATTCCCCCCAACCCAGGACAGCCTGAACTGAAGCTGTCACAGCACCCTGTAACAGAGAAATGATGAAACAATTTTTTTTCCAGTTATGTCAGCTTGTAGATGATATAAAGTAGAATCCTAAATATGGAAAAGGAGACTAGGAGTTAAGCTGAACTGTGAGGTTAAGAAAGAGATACAAAGACCAACCTTTAAATACACCCCTAATAGTAAGGGGAGAAACAATCCTGAAACTAGGGAGATAAGTGGGATACAAGGCAGGAAAAGTAATTGCCTGCCACCACATAAGGACAACAGGATAAACTTCAGATATTTGAGCTTACTACCAGGATGAAACACTAAAAAAAACCCCAAACAAAACCAAAAAACCCCAGCTAAGTCAATGCACGTAGCAATTTTAGATTAAAGTATGCAGTGGCTCATGTTCTATCTTAGGAAATGGTATTTTGCTACTTGTTTCTGCTTCGGTTTTGTTTTTAATTTTTACATTGTAGGATAACAGGAACAAAAGTGTGATGTGAAGCTTTGGCATTGATTCCCACCACCACCATTTTAACTCTTTGAATTCTGCTGGATTGTCCTGGAAAATATGGCAGAAAATATACCACCTACTAGTATACCACCTACCAGGCCAGTTCTGTTCATTTATTCAAGGCAGCTGCGTTATAAACCATTAAGAAGTTTAGTCTATAATGCAGAGCTTGACAGATCTTAACTATCACGGCATTAGAGGGTGCCACTTTTTTTTATCAGCAAGCTGTGGCAAATAAGAACAGCGTGCTACACGTGGACTCTGTAAAATTTCACTTCAAAGGCCTGATTTTCTTTAAGATATTATGAACGCATCCAGCTTTAAAGGTCATTCCTGAGCACTAGCCAGATGGTTTGAGGGTCCAATTTCACTTTATTTTTTGAAACGCTTTTAAACATTACAACCCTTTTTAATTGCAAGGCCATGTTTACATTCAAACTGCCAGTGTATCTTGCATGAAATAAATTTTTAATGAGTGGAATGTTTGAAATTTAAAAGTGTAAGCCATAAAATTGCTTAAATCTCCACTGAATAATTAAAATACAACTTTGCTTTATGGTTGCAATTTTCTGCTCTGTTAAGATTCTGTCTCTCTCCCTTTTTTTTCTCCCTCATGCATAAAACTTTTAAGAAATAAAACACACAGTATAAAAACAATGCTCTTAAAAAAAACACATAGTGCTTGGAAAATTTCAATTGGTATTCAATTAGTTTGTAATTTCCAAACTAGTCTTTCAAAACATAGTCGTTGCTTTAAAGAAAGGCAAAAAGTCATTTTGCAGTCACATAACCTTCGCAGATCTTTTCTTAAAATGTCCTTTCAACTTGCCAGTTTAATGATCTAATCCAGCAAGTGGCTATAATCTGAGTACAGAGCAGACAGACATACACATAGGCTCCTTCACCGTGGTGTATTACGTTAGAGAAGGCGGCTACCACTAGACATCTCATCGGCACGCACGTCCTGTGATGCTAAGAACTCTGAGGAATCATCCTCACATACGCACGTGCCCATGGGCCCTTTCTTACAACCCACCGCTTCAGTACCTAAGAGCGCACAAATATAGACCCAGGTCCTGTTGTGGCAAATGCTACACATGTGAAATTATGGCCAAAGTCTGGTTAAAAATGAATGGGTAAATTTGTGTAATAAAAAACTTGGGAAAATAGAGGAGAGACAATATAACAGGAGTACAGAGCAGTGCCGAACAGCGTGTGCTACAGGACCTGTGAAGGTTAGGTACGGTAAAAAATGGCACGGGTGGACAAGAACAGCTTGCACCACCTAATTTTAGGCAACAGATAGTGGTGATCTAACTTAGCCAGACTGCCTATCTACCGTGCACTGCAAATAGGTAGATACCTCAGGGGAGTGATTCACAAAGGCTGAATCTCCCTTGGAAAGAGATAGTTTCTCTCCGCTAAATACACAGGGAGCCCAAGGTGGTAAGGATTGTAATTCAGGCCTTTCAGAGAGGGAGAATTAGTCCTCCCAGCAGGTGGTGAAGTCTGAAAAGTGCCATTTGCTTTGAGAGCACTACTCACAGGATAATAAACAAGTCCAGCAATTGCACTTGCTTCCTTTCCTAGCTTCTGGATGCAGTCTGCACATGCATGCTAATGTGTTTATATGCAGGTACATTACAAAAATTAAGAGAAATGCATACATATCTCAACAGATGCTTAGGTTGAGGGGCATTAGTGAGCATAGATAGAACAGATCAATAAAAGGAGCACTAAATGAGACATTTTTGTTTGTTTGTTTGCTGTTCACCTTTGAAAAGAACATGATAATTTAAATAGCTTTTCTTTTAAGGAAGTATTTGATGACTTCAGGCAATCAAGCCCTGGGAAGAAATAAAATGCATGGCAAAGAACATTTATTGGTTGACTTTAACTCTTAACTTCTTTAAAAACGAAAAACAAACCCGCAGCAATCCTAGCCTTGATCGCTTGGTGTTCTTTTAAACTTACGGAGCAAACTTACCCATATCTGAAGAAATTGTTGAACTGTCTGCAGATCTTATGAGTAAGCTCTCTCTTACCACAGGCTAGAGGGCCAGCTAATACCAGCATGGGGTAGGGAGCATCAAGACTAGGTAAAGTGCTACAAGAAAGGAAAACAAGAAGCCGTTACATTACCTACAAATGAAGTCCTCAGCAACTTTGTATAAAGCTTCTGCAGAGACTTTATCATCACTTCAACCACTCTCATCTGGCTATCACACTATTCACGTTGTTCACAGTGTAGACAAAAATCAGGAGAAGCGCGTGCTCAGTTTGATGTGCTCTAAACATAAAAATAGCACAAAATGCTGCGTTAAAGACCCCTGGGTCTCTTTTGCAAAAGGAATAATGTTATGTCTACTATAATCTTTTCTGATTTATAGGCTTTTTTAAAGCTCCCTCTGCAGTTACGGTGTTGCTGGGATTTGTTTAAGAGTTTTCCAAGTCTATCGCAGAGATGGTAATATTTTAATGATCAGGATAATAAGCCTAGCATGAACCTGGACTCAGTCCTACAAACCTTTACGCACTCCCGCATTTAATCTTGCTGACTTCCATGGCCTCGCCAGATGAAGGCGGGAATTTGTAAAGAACTCTTCAATTCAATACAATGAAAAACACTGAGATCCTTAAACTCCACCGAACACAAAGAACACGACAATAAAAGAACCCAAAGTGCTGCAAAAATACAAAGCCCTCCATTGTCTCCATGCTGAGCAGATGGTTAGATCCTCAGATTTCCACTTCCAGCTCTAAATGCTAGAATGAATAGCATTTCTGCACTTTCGGGTGTCCAGCAATTTATTGAGACAGCTAAAAATGGAATCCAGCTTTGGACTCTCATTTTGAAATCTCAGCTTGATCTTAAGATTACGCCACTTGCTAATGTCTCAGAAATAGTTGAAATAATTTCAAACCCACTTATTTTTAACTAATGAGTAGCTTTAACTAAATTTAAATTTTAAAGTGGAAGACAATGACCAACGTGTGTTAAGCTTCCATTTAATGTGATTTAAAACAGGTAAACACAAATTCCTGAAAATGGAGTATATTTCTTTTACCTTTTCTCTTACAAGTAACTAACTCTATAACAAATAATGCTAACCATCCAACACAAGCATGAAGGAAAAAGATTTCAAAGTAATGGCTTTAGTCCTATTTTAGGTTCAGCAAAACAGCTCTATTTCCTAACAGATTATATGTATATAATGGGACTTGATGCTTCAGAAGCACTAAGGTAATATTGCAATCCGGTCTCCTAATTCTTCTGTGGAGTACTGTTCTCACAGAAGAAATAACAGATACACCTAATACACCTAATAAATGAAGAGACCGTCTCAAGTCTGTACATACGTGTTGTTATTAAACTGTGAAATGAACCCAGATCCTGGTTCAGAGTTCCACCCACTGGACTATTTTAAAGCAAGACAGTAGCAGAACCCTTAGGAGATTTAAGGATTTTTTTACTTACCGTGCCGATTGGTGACATTTACAAAACATTAGACAATATTAGCACAATAAGCTTATTAGCACAATACATTAAAGATACCAGAGAAGGTAAAAATACATTTTGAAAATCCTTATTTGAATCTGTTTGGTTGTGACATTCTGTTCAATTCCAGAAATATCTCCCTCCTCTCTTGATTATTTGAGCTGTTCAGACTGTCTTTGCCTTTTCTGACATTTGTGGTAAGGAAAAGACCCGTTTAAGATAACATGATCCCAGGAGGTATTAGTGACAGCTGTGGATACTGCAAGTGCATTATTATAAATGAACACTTTCAAAGATGGGAATTCCACAAAACATGCTTAGTGACTAGAGATTCAAAATTTATCAAGAGGTAGCAGAAAGGTGGTTATTCTTGCTCAAGGCCATGCCTTTCTGAATAATGATGTCAAGGCAGGTCTGTGAAGACAGAACCCTTATCTTCAACAGAGTTTTAATATATTCCTTCTCCATGCACAGAGCCTGTTACATGCTTGCAAATTGCAGAATTCCTCCGTAATCTTTTCTTTTACGAGGAAGTGTTATAACCAGTAATGATACAATATATCATTACTTGACATGATTATACTCGGAATTCAAATTCCCTTAAATAAATTTCCATTGCTCAAATTCCTCGTAGCCTCAAATTCCTTGGATTTATTATTTCATTAGAAGAACACGAGAACATTTCCATAATATTGTCTTTCATTACATCACCACTTACTGGTTCTCAAAAGACAAACTGAAAAGTTTTGGTTTTCCTACAACTCGCAAGCACTTTCTTGTAAAGAGTTCTTGGCTCATTTAATGTGCATCTTTCACCTTTCTCTGTCTTTGGCGAGCACAGTAAGACGCTGTGCGCAAGACTAATAGATTTCAAGGCCAGAAGGGACTACTGTGATCATCTACTCAGACTCCCCTCATCACACTGGCAACAGGATTTCCCCGAGTTAGTTCTTCTTTCAAGCCTGATACCTGAGGTTCTGTTAGAGCATATTTTAATTAAAAACATTCCAGTTGTGGAGACTTCTTGGTACCCTTGGTAAATTGTTCCAATGGTTAATTACCTTCATTGTTAAAAATAAGCATGCTCTATTTCTTCTCTGAATGAATTTATCCTCAATAGCCAGACACCAAGTCTCATCATGTACTTGCCCAATAGACTGAAGAGCCCTCTGTTATGAGATTTCTGCTCCCCGTGTAGCAGTTATAACTATGATCAAGCTACCTTTTAAAATGTCACATGCATTTGTAGTAGGGGAAAAATACACATAATACTGTTCAGTGGTGTGTTACCATGTAATTAAAGATAGAATCACAAGGCACGCAGGGAGAGGGAATGGCGTAAGAAACTTAATTCTAATGTTTTCTGACTGCAGAGTATGCAACGATGTAACTTTTTGCTTTGTTTTCAGGTTTTATTTTTAATAGAGATATTACTAAAATAGAATTAATTCTAATCTCATCTAAAAATATAGATGCAAATGAACTATACCAATCTGGTATTTTATAGTGTAGAAGACTGTAACACATCATCATTAAGAAGATTTCATTAATGACTGTGTTGTGTGCTTTCCAGCTGAGCATGGGCAAACATTCAATGCATCATTAACAATTTTGGTCAGTACCATAAATGCTGGTCTGCATGTTTATATGTTTGTGTATACAATACCTCTGACAGAAGACAGAATTGTTTCTTTCCAGCAATGCAGATACACATACACAGTCCGATAAACAAATATTTAAAGAAAGCCTATGTCTGCATCGGAAGAAATCCACGCCCTTAGGTAAAACTATTGTGATTTTTTTTTTAATAGATCTCCAACCGTGCAAAACAGCAAATAAATCTTCAGGGTTTTTTTTTTAATAGGCTGTTAAGAATTCTCAGAGCTATCATCACCACTGGGATGGTTCCTGTCTTTCATCGACAGTCCCAGAAAACACAAGACTCGCAATAAAGATATTCTAAAAATTTACATTTCTGAGTTACTAAATCATGGATCTTAAATCAGGTCACTCATTACAAATGAAGATGTCCAAAATGGTGCTAAAACAGGGCGTGGGGTACAAAAGTTGATCTCAGTGCCCACTGTAGCCAATGTAATAATAAGCCACATACATTTCATGGTATCTTCCATCAGAGTATGTCAAAGCATTTTCCAAGCATTTATCAAGTAAATGTCATAACGCATCTGCAGAGCAGCAAAGTAGGGCTATTTCCATTTTCTAGATGAGAAATGAGACTGAGAGAAGTCACCTGGCATGGCAATGGCAACACTGGAAAAAGAGCATTGATTTGCCTCTCCCTTCTGTGCTTTAAGCGGCAGTCAGCATCATCTCCTCTCAAAGGCAGAAGACGCTGGACTTCCCTAAGTACAAACTTGAAAATTTCACCTTATGAATATAAAAAGTGCCCCAAAGCCACAAAATAAAGCCATTTTGCTCACAATGGGATGCCAATAGTGTGAAGAGAAGGAGTAAGCAGAATGGGAAGATATGTTTTACAGCTCTCTTCTTCCTCTAGAGATTTTTAAATTGCCTTTGGGTATTGATAGAAATTTTGCATCTTCCATTTCTGGTGCAAACGGCCATCTGTTTCAACAGATTGTTTAAAAGAAATGGAGCTGTGGACAATCTGTCTCAGACTTTAGAGGTGAACGACTAACTTCATTTCATAATCAATTTCAACCAAATAAGATTTGCCTAATTTCCAGACTGCTACCAGAATACTGTGGAATGTCTCTTCATTAGATTAATTTAGAGGTGGGAGTGGGACAGAAGAATGTCCCTCTGAATACGACAACATATTCTGCTTTACTTGAGTGCCACCCTCAGGAGCTGGTGTGAAGTGGAGGTAAGCTTACCTGTCAAAGATTCTCTGGGGCTGCAGCATGCTATACATAACATGAGTCATATGATCTTTTGCAGCAACAACTTCTGGAGGAGGATCATATTTATTCACAGCAGCAACCTGTTTCCACAGTTTAGGGGCAAAAGAAAGAAGAGCAGTGATGTAATTGTTTCCAGCTGCAATATGCTTCGCAGTTCACTATGAATAATCATGGCTTCATATTTATGAGGGTCAGTCTTTGTATTTGGGTTGTCTGTGAGCACTCCACTACATCAGTCTTTTCAGGGGATTTAAGCGCAATTGATAGATGGATGGAAGGCAGCCAGACGTAGCTCGCTATCTTTAATATATTCAACCTTTTACTGGAAAGAAAACAGGATGCCACATAAGATGCAAAATAATTTTGCTTAGGTTTTAATTATCCATTAATTTGCATCCTCTCAGTGCTGGTGGAAGATGCCAAAGTAAAATCCTTTGGGACTGAAACCATTCATTTATTCGTCAGAAGAGGAACAGAATGGGCATTAACAAAGTAAGCAAACTGCAATTTTCTCCTGACAATGCATTTCTGTCTTTCCTGGGAGGAAGAGCACTCAGACTCCAAGGATTCCCTCCATCCATTCTGTTGAAAGCTCTATTGAGGGTACTGACCACTAATGAGTTGTATATTTTTTGGTATTCTTAATGCTACCCACTCAGAAACAGGTTAGGAACTACTGAGTCATGTCATGTAAACCATCAAGTATCAACAAGCCGACACCGCTGCAAAATACTGCCGTAAGCTCCGATGACAGCCATGCCTACATTAGCACAGGCAATAGGAGTGGATCTTTAAAGCAAAACATTCAGTACTCGGGACCCAACGTCCACACTATTTTGGGGGGAGTAAGGGAAGGGAGCTCATTTCACTCTACCTCTGTTGGTCCTTTGGTCTGAATTAGTGGCTAAGAGCGCATTAGGTGCATCCTGGTGCACATCATCTGGTTAAGGTTAGTCCAAAAGAAGTCTAGGTCATACGTTGCAAGACGACTCCGCAGTGAGAATCGAGCATGGCTAGCTGGGCAACTGGAAGTTTCACTTCAAAACTACACTTCTGATCTAAATGACAACATTTCTGTGTACCCATTTGGTGTGTTAGCGAGACAGAAGAGCTGCTGCCTCCAAACGGAGTTTGACAAAAGAGTTTATGAGGCTGGGGGAGATGTCTTAAAATAACCCGAGGAAAGGATTTTCTGAAATAACTTCAATCATCCCAAAGTTAAGTGCTAGTCTAAACCAGTCATCCAGGCTTACTTTTACAGTCCACAGAGAAGGAAAAATTTCTTTAATACATTCAAAACTTTATCGGAAGGAAAACAGATTGTCACATAAGACAAAGAGTAAGATCAACATCTCGGGTAGGTGGGGTAAATTACACTCGGTATCATGCCTTCTCTGTGTTCAGGATAGAGGGAGCCTGGCATTAAACAAGAACCCTAATATTCATGCGGCTAAAGTTAGGAGTTATGAATTCTTGTAAGGATTATTTTTAAAGGATAATTCCCTGAAATCCAACCCCAATTGGCAGCTGTTAATCCTCACAGTTCTAGCATGGCTTGGGCCCAAATACTACATGCAGCAACCAATTACAGTAAAAATAGCACAAGAGGGAAAGGTTTCTATTAGAATAGAAAATTACTGTAAGCAGTCTGAGCAGGTTTTTTCGGAGAGACGACTTTACAGTGAAAGCTGTATGGAGTAGAATGGGAAACAAGCATCATTACAACTTTCAGAGTTCACTGCTGTACATGACACTAAAAAAACCCAACAATGGTATTTTAGAAGTAGCACAGTGGTTACCACTTCAGAGTATTTCGTGAATGTAGTTGCCTGTTTAGATTCGCTAACTGAGTAACAATGGCTGCTAAGTAAACTTCTTCACCGAACAAAGCTTTTAGGTAAGCTTTGCATTTTTACATACCACAACTGCTCCAGAAATTCTGTAGATACATAATGGGATTTAAAAGCAAAAATCTCTGAATTTGTAGCCTGTCTTGGGGGCTGAAACCTGGGAGATTTGTCACACCCAAATGACTACAAAGCTATATTTCCATGCACAGTTTTTTATACTCTTTATTTAGAAAAATCCCAGAATGATATGATGTTTCCATACCTTTTCTTCCACTGAAATCTTCTTGAGATCCAGTTCTGTTAGTTGGAGCAACATGAAGATCACCAAAAGCCAATAATCTGTTTGCTCCTGAAGGACAAAGTTTCCACGTTGACATAAAGTACTTAACTTCATCAATTTGATATTTAATTTCAATCGGTTGAAATTAAATTGGCCTTAATACTTTGCAACATAAAAAGCTTTTTACCCTGAAGGATGTCAATACGCTGTACAAATTGACCCACACCCCCCCCCAAGCTCAGCTTCTGCAACAAAAGCTAATAGTTGTTCAAAAGTCTGCAATACATTGTTCAAAAGGTCAATGGGAATTTAAAAATCACAACCATACCCACCAGAACACCAAGAAAGACTGTTGGAGAACCAACAGCTTTATTTATACTGGGACTATGTAATAAACTATGGTTCTAACCTTAGTAGTACTGTAGAACTTTAAAAGAGAATTTGCATTATAAATTTGTCACCATATATGCATTTAAGTCTGAGACAATAAAAAAGAATAATTAAAAATCAAATGAAAAAGCTGACACTGACAAGTCCATGAAGCTTCTTAGTTCTAAAACCAGTAAGGTCCTGTTAAAACAACCGAAATTCAGACAGCTGCCTTAAGATGATTGTTGCGTGTAAAAGTTATTAAAACAGTAATTGAAAGGAATAGGATCAGACTTTGCTTAGGGGAAGGACATCTAAACAGAAAAAGGCTTTCAGGTTACGGAGGACCAGGGGCAGCCTATTTTGGGTATTTTTTCATGCTGATTTCATGGTGTGTCATGACAGACCATTCTCACGAAAGCCAGTACAAAACCAGCAAAAAGGAGACGTTAAACCCTTCACATTTTTCTCCTCTCTGACATTGGAAATCACTGTAAAATTCAAACATAATTTAGAAATCACACAAGCCAGGATGGAATCATCTTTGATCACTCGGGACAAATTATAAATGCAGAGTCAAAGTCAGAATTTCTGATATTTTGCAAATGTCGTTGTTGATAAAATGGATGTTTAATTCATTAATTGAGGAATATTATGGGAGCCATAAATGAGAACCGAGTACATCCTAAAGAAGAGAAGAAGATACAGATTCCAGAGACACATGATTTTAAAAGGGGTACTATTAAGTTCCTTTGAGCTTTTCCCAGGAACAATCAAGTACAGACCTTCAAAGCAAACAAAAAGGGGATCTTTTCCCAAAGAAAAATCACAGCATACTGTGAGTACAAATGCATAAATGGATTCACAAATGGAATTAATAAAATTAATGGATTTATGACGTGGATATTAAATATCATGATTCATACGCAGCTTTGGTTCAGACAAAGCTCCCAGACAAAGGTGGGTAACCGTGCCGGGGAAACCATCACTCGTCATTTCTTGTACTCGTTCCCTGAAATGACCTGGCCACTCTCAGAGACAGAAACTGAGGCCAAATGGATTCTGGTGTGATCCAAAACAGCAGTTCTAGGTCTTTATTTTTGGCTTCCTCTTTAGTTCTTTCTTACCTGTACAGGATTTTTTAAAAGATTTAAAACTCTGAGGAGAGGCAGATCTGCAATACATTCAAGTTCACGCAGCTCAGCAATCTAATTAGTGACAGAAACAGAGCATAAATCAGCAGCAACAGAATCCGTGATAACTATGGGGAAAAAAAGTATTTTAATTCCTGCTCTTAAAATCTGGACATAAAAAAAATTCATTATACTCACAAAATGGGTATACATGTTAACTGCATTCAATAAGGCACTTTTAGTCACAAAAGGCAGACAACTTGGATGTTAGCTGCAGAAGCAGTATAATACAGACAGCAATTTCAAACCACCTGCATTTTCCCAGTTCTTTCAAATGTCAAGCCCTAACACATTTAGCTTTTATGTGGTTGATGTGCTTAAGTGAGGCAATTCTGCAGTTATATTTGCGCTTCAGTTGACTAGCAAAAAAAATTCCTTCTAAGAAGAGTTTCTTTTCACTGGAGCTCAAGTTCACCCTACCTAACTTGCAGCGCTTGACTGAAAAGCATCAGCATAGTTGTCCTTGGCTGCCTGTGTCCAGAGGGTGATGCATGCCACTTCAGGTCTCACCTATCCACAAAGGAAACCTGGGTTGGCTGCGCTCAGGCACAGCAGATAAACATTAGAAGTTTATGTGGGATTAATGAAAGTTTGTGTGCCCAAAGCAAAGTCACACCAGAGGCACTTGTCCTACACCCTGAGTGAACAGTTGTGAGGCTCTCAATTAAAACAAAATGGGTCAAGTCAAATGGAATTCGCGTTGCCTCATTTTAGCCATCTGTTACGTTAGCCCAAATCAGTCGCTTAACCTCACTTTATAATCAGTTGAGAGAGGCAGTTCCAGAGGTCATCTGATCCACGGTAGGCTGGGATGAATGGCCTTGTAAAGGATACCTGGTTTTCCTCCACTGCTAAAAGGCTGAACCTAGAAGACTTCAGATTCTATCCCAAACTTATACTCAGCTTGTGTAAAGTGTCTAAAAACATAAACCTCAACTATAGCCTACCCAGTATTCATTTTGAGATACCAAGAAGCCCACGGCGGATCAGTTTTGACCAAGTTAAATGTCATTTGGGTGAATTTCCTAAATAAATCATAGAATGCCAACTGCCAACATTTGAAAATCACTGAACATGTATGTGAGAGACATGGTTTGCAGATAAACCTATCGTGCCCGTTTTTGAAAAATCAATCATTTGAGATCATTCTGGGTGGTAGTAAGCTGAAGTAACTCGGCTCTTTAAAATTAAAATTCTCTTTAAATTATTCTTCAGAAGGAAATGTTCAAAAAATGGTGACTCTAATTAAACAGTTTCAATAACATCATTAAAAGAGGCAAATTTTGATGAGGTAAAATTAATAGCTTTTGCGTGCCGTAAAGAATAGTGGAAACTATATGAGGCAATGGAAGTAGTGTTATTAATGCTAATAGCAGCCATACTATTAGTTAGTTTCCTGCTTCTGCAATTGATGTACCTTTAAATGTCAACCTGAACACAGTGTGAGAAAAAGAATTCATAGTGTCTTGAATTAAATCCTGTAAATGTATCTTGCAAGTGGGGAAAAACGACAGAAAATGTTCAATTCCGGGTTTATATTTTTATTTCTTATTTTCTTAGATTTTTTTATCACATGCAGATCTGTCTTTGATGTCAAAATGATTCATGAATTGACAGTCTTTTCAGTTAAGGACCCTGGAAGCTCAATATCAAAAGTATTATGTATATGTGGCTTGAGTTTCAAAATGCAAATACAAATGAGGTGGATTGTATCGTTGTACTTCCAGTGAAAATTCTGTGGCATAACAAAAGCCACTTTATAATAGAGTACATGCAGTTCTGCCTTACAGGAAGTTTCCAGCTGAGAGCTCAGAAGAATCTGTGGTCATAAAATTGGGCTGAGAGATATTAGCAAATCCTCCTGAGGCCTGGCAGTAGAAAAGCTGTGATGTAAGTAAAGATCCTCAAGAATAATCAAGCTGAAAAAGCTGCATACTCATCCCTATCTTATCCACTCAAGGGAGCACTGTTAGTTCTTTATGTACGCGAGCACTAAATACTACAGAAGTGATACCTACATACAGATAAACCCATCTAGAGATATTAAATAAGGCCTGAGGAGTACAGTATCAATCAACATGTGAAAGAGCATTGGAGTGAAACAGCAAAGGAAAAAATGTCATCTTTTCTAATATTCATTTCTTGCAGTGTTGTAAGATTTTTTGATTAAGTCTTAAAGGGATTGAATTTTAGAAAAAAAAAATATGCATTCTTAGAAAAAGCTGAGACCAATATTAAGTATGCTACCTGGTTATCCTCTAGGTTGATCATCTCTAGTAGATCATGCTCCTCCAAGCCTTCTAGACTTGTTATTTTATTACTAGATAGGTCCAGCTTCTGTAGAGTTTTCAAGCTGTCCAACCCAGTTATCTTCTCAATCTGGTTAGAGCTCTAAGAAGAAATGAAAGCGCATAAACTGTTGATAAAGTTCTACAAATGGAAAACAATCTTCCTGAGGAAGAACGGCGTTCACTTTATTATTGAGAATCCTATTACAGCTAGGCCTTTTATGCATTAGCCCCATCTTCATCTTGAGATGACATATTACAGCTTTCCATACTGCTCAAGGAAAAAAGAATCAACTATCTTCTGATTAACTTATCTTCAACTCACCTTGAATAGCAGCGAGAGACAACAGCAATAAAAAGAGCTCTAGCATGCTTTTAAAGCTGATACTGGCTAAAGGATAGTCTTGTCACTATCCAACTCAAAATTTAGAAAGCAGATATGCACATAAAATCATAGAATATACATACATAGATAACACAGAATTTCCCTCTGTAATCATGGTTATAATTTACACTTATGATTACGGAATAAATAATGAAAATATTATGGCAGAACAATACAGTGCTGTCTTCTTTGGACCACAGGCAGTCTATAAAAACATCTCTAGGATACACAAGTTCATCTTAATGTATCCTAAGTGAAGGCAGACTTTATTTACTGTCAGTGACAGCATGCACAGAAATGTTAAAAAACAAACAAACCAACCAGCCCACCTTACTGTAAGTTCATCTAGACTCTAACACAAGAAATGACCCAAGTTTTTGAGAACTCGTAACCAGCTATCATTGTTTTACATTCCTTCCAAACAAGGTACAAAATAGAAGACCTACATTTATCACTGGACACCAGATGGCTTCATTTCTCCGGGCCTCACAAATCATATACTCGTTTCTGCTACGAACTCCAAATAGGTATAACATGCGAGGTTCTGTACTCATCTTTGTCCCAGTGGCCACACGTACCCAGATGGCCTCTCAACATGATTCTTTCTGTATAACCTTGCAAGTTATATTTTTCCATCAGCATCACCTTGTGCTGAAAGCTTAGAAGCCTCATATTCTATTAATAAATATTTAGGAACTATTGAAATAAATAGGCCAGCTGACTCTAATGTTAATCCAGTTGTCTGTCCTTGACATTTTTCCTGACTTTTAAATGTTTAATTAGGTTATTAATAGCATGGAGGCTCCCTCTTCTCTTCCTGTTCTTCGTTAGACCTCTGTTTAATAGGATACAGCTCAGAGCTCTAGCTGCAAAATGCTATGCAAGAGATGCACATAAAATTCTGTGAACAAAAGGGATTTGTGTCGAGATCCTTTTTTGCAAAGTATACAATTCCTAAGAGTCCAGTTCATTAGAGCTGCACTTCTTATTTTTTTGCAAACATAAGCAGAATAAAGGCTTTTTGGTATAGCTAGGCAGTATTTACAGTTTTTGAAGCCCTTCTTCCAAACTTCAGACCTTACTACTCTTTCAACCTAAAAAGCTCAAGGGAAAATGGAAAAGAAAGCTGAATCAATGGGAAGAGAGGGGATGACTGTTCCCTGAAAAAAGAACTGCATTTTATTCTAATTAGTAAAAGAAAATGCTATGCTAAAATCTGTCTATTTACATAATTTCCACATGACTATCTACTTTGCTAATTAAAGAAGACAAGCAGTTGTATAAATAATCATATCAGCATGTAAGAACCAAAACTGAAGAACATGCTCATATTAATAAGGCTTAGCTGTTAACACAGCCTCCAAAACATTTTACAGAGCAGATAACCAACAGAATTATTATTGGGCCTTTTAACAGATGAGGAAATCAGGGCACACAATGGTTGAGCGACTTAGTGTCGTTCTCCCTGAAGAAAGCACTGAGAGAAAAGATCTTCCTGTCAGCTTAGATTGTCATACTCCTATAGCTCATTTCAGAACTTTTAGACATGATTTTGCCAATCTGAGTTAATCTTATCCGCTAAAAATGAGACAAAATTCAGTTTTATTGCCACTAAGCATAACTGGAAGCTACTGAAGGCATTATATATCTGAAATATATTAAAAATACGTTACTGACCACTGTTTGAATATATTATTCAAAACATACTACTGTCCACTTTTAAATGTGAATACCTTTCCTGAATATCGAAGCAGTAATAAGTACAAGGGCCAATCAGGCCTTGATGGGTACAGACCTTAGTTACTCTTTTCTATATCAAGTGCTACAGAACAGAACAAAAACCTTTAAAATTTTAAAAGGACTGGAAAAGAATATTTCTATTCTTGATAAGGGATTCATTCACTTTACCTAAAATATTGATGCAGGTGCTTAAAACTAATGTAGCAAATATGAGTCCCATTAAATATTTTTTAACTTATTATTACAAAGTAAAACCTATTAAGAAGTAGCCTGTTGTATTTTATACCAACTGAATTGCATTAAAAATAGTTTTTGCTTGTGTTTCTGTGCAACTTCTGTATTGATGGCTCTTCCTATTAAGTACCTCAAAATGGTTTAGAAGAAAGCGTTGGTATTATTAAGGATGTTTTACAAACATGGAACTGAGGAACACTGAGGTAAATGCCTTCCTAAGACCTGTAAAAGAGCAAGATGCATGCAAACAAGCGTAGGCATTGACAGACAGAGGTCCGTATTTGGGCTAGTTATCCTTGGCTGTCTTCCTAACAAACACAGAGAAACAGGCACTTCCAAGGCCTCATGTTAACGTATTTGTCAGCAGCTGGGTCAGAATAACGTAGAATTTTAAGTGTCCATTTCTCTCCACTGAATTTTGAGGCAAGAGGACAACTAGCTCATGTGCAGTTGTCTACACTGCAGAAATCTGAAGCCAGGTAAGATAAATCCCGCTAAAGCATCTAGAAATATAACTTAGAAATGTTGTATTTAAACAAATATACCCTAGATATCTTGATGGAAAGCTGGCAATATAAAGCTTCCAATCTCATTACAAGATCCTTAAAAAATTAAATAAAAATCCTTTAATAATATATCAGATTTGCATACTAAACTTGACTTGTTTTCTAAAATGAATGCAGGCTTCTCAGTCCTCGCTTTTCCCTCTCCTGTCCTAGCTCACTGCTATCATGAACACGACTTTATGAGGAAATGTACTTTAAAAAAAAAAAAATCTTCATTGTTTGTATTGTGGGACTTACACAGTAAGCAACCTCTTACACATCACCTAAGCACCAACAAAACCTTCCCAGAGCAAATGCAAAACATCTTTGGAGAAATTCCAAATCCAGCTGGACAAGGCCCTGAGCAACCTCCACTGAAGATGGCTCTGCTTTGAGCGGGAAGCTGGATGACCTTCATGGCTCCCTTCTAACCTATATCATTCCATGGCCCTGTTTTAATAAAAAAATGTGTCCAGTATTTCACGTATCGCTGAAAATTTGTTATGTAATTACCTTCACATTTATTAAGGCATTAATATATTGATAAAAGACAGACAGGAAAACAACTAGAATTACTTCTTTCTTACCAGATTGAGTATTCTGATAGGTAAATTCTCAAGGCCACCGATTGCGGTGAGTCTGTTGTGTGACAAACTAAGATGAGTCAGACTGTGACACTTCTCCAGTCCTCTTATCTCCTCTATGTTATTAACTATACAGAGGTTTTTGCATTTAAGGAAAATAACTAAACACAAAACCTTAGCAATAATTAGTAGCTAAACTAGCTGACGGAGCTGAATTTTATGGTAAGAGGAGCTGGACATCAAATGCTTCATGCTAAGTAGTTTAAAATCCCAGCTGCTCACACCCACCCCTTTCTGAAGCTTACTGCCTCCTTGTTTGACTGCCACAGCTTTTTGTGAGACTGTGGGATAAGCGACACTGATCCAGCTAGAAATATCCTCTCCTCCTTTTTGGAGGAGCTTTTAACTCTGGTAGTTTCTATAACCTGGTTTACAGTGCAGCCCTTCAAGCTGGCATAACCGGGCTGATGGCAAATCAAGAAATTAGTGGAAACGAGGGAACAGGAGTGTGGGGAAGGAACTACTTTGCCAAAATCTTGCAAAACTATGCTGTAAATCTCTGGTCTTCTCATCAGATGCATATGCGCAGGCTAAAACATTATGCCTTTGACTTTAACTGGGCGCCAGTCACGTTAGCTCAGCTGTAGAATAGAGGCACACGGCTGAGTCATCAGAGGAAAGCGCAATCGTTGTATGTTTACGGAGTACTTAACATGGCTCCAAACTGACCTTGACCTCCAAGCACTATACACAAATTATCCAAGTAATAAGAGATGATAGTACTATATGGGGCTGTTTCACTCTAAATTACACCTGTTGTATACCGGCCAGCTGCACTGAAAGGGGAAAGTGTATTTGAAATTAACATTAAACGCAAAAGCAGCAGGAAAAGTAGTTAGGATTCCTCTCAGCAAACTTCAGCATTAACATAACTACCCTTAAACAAAGCACGTTTCCTTTGACAACAAGCTATCTCAGATTGCTCTCTTACAATGGGATGAACTGCAGAGGTACCTGACTCTGTATCTCTCCACTGTACCGAAATCGGATACCTCTGATCCAGGCATCGAATTGTTTGGTGACTGAAGTTAGGCAAGAAGAATTGCACTCATACTGTAAGTGTCCAAGCTGGAACTAGTTACATAAAAAACCAAGAAATATAACTGGAAAAAATAGCCAGAACATGCAGGACACAGAGAAATGCCTTTAGGCAATCAGAGAAGAAAACAGTTTTCATTGACTCAAGAGAATGAACTCTGCCTGCAAAGAGGGGCAAGTGAGTTTTCATTCACGGTTCCAGTCTTACCAGGCAGCAGACAAATTATCAGGATTATTTTTCTCTCAGTCTGAATGACACTGTAACAAACAAAATGTAAGCTTAGCCAGGGATAATAGAATACTCTCTAATAACTGTGACCTAACTCTGTCTTT